TAATGGCGGGGTGTTTGCGATGGAAATCCGTTCCCCATGAATCATAAACACGACAAATTAATTATCCGCCTGTCTGTCTCGTTTCGGATCCGAGAGCATCGCCGTCGCCGTCACTCCCCGCGTGTTGTATCATTGTTCTAATTTAAATAAGTATATTTATTTAAGTTTAGACGCACTGCACGCGCACTTATTGCGGAAGACGTCGATAACTTTGGAAAATCTAAATTAAAAAACGCAAAACTGCCGTAAAATAATAATATCAAGTAAACATAAGTATAATATTACTTATGTTTACTTAATATCATGTTTATTATATTACTTAATTTATATATTTATTATGCTTATTTATCCAATTTATTGCACTTTTAATTCTGCAATCTCATATTTAACATCGTCGATCTTCTACCTGTTCTCTTTTTAAAATACCGCGTCCTTATTTACTTTTTATTATACCTCCATTCTTCCCGTTTCATTCCTTTTACGCTTTTTACGGGTTGAAACTGCGGAACTAAAAACCAATCGTGGCGACTGCAGACGTTCGCAGCAAAGCGGGGGAAATGTTTTCCCACAATCGAGAGAGACCCCGCGTATTCGATAACAGGGAAAACAACGCGACGGTCCAGATGGCCGTGCTGCGATGTCGGTGCTGTGAATCGCAGAGATAAACGCGAGCCATATTCCCTCTCCCGCGGGGCGCTCACCTGTAACGCGCTGGAGGAGCGATAATAACCGGAAGCGCATCGAGACGAGGTCCATTACCGGGGCTCGTGTCTGTCGCAGAATCCCCCGGTCGTTTTCGTTCGCCGATACCGGGCTGCGGTGCTGGAAATTAGCTGTAATTAGCGGGACGCATGGGCTGCTGCAATGCACACGGGATAATTCCGTAAATACCACTTGACAGGGAAATCCGTTAGTTTTCTCGCTTTGCGGCAAACCCGGCGTGTATTTTAAATGTAAATTTCCCGTGTCATGTATAAAAGTGTCTGTCGCACTGTCTATAAAATCCTGACACTGATCAATACGGTATAATTTCGTAGCTCACAATTTCAGAGCATTCACTCTTCTAATATTTCTTTCATAGCAATTTGGATATTAAATTATAAAAACGTATCGCTCTTTATATGTATAAAGCTCGACGTTAAATTATTGTACCACAAAAATAGTCGAAAGTGGAAATGAGGATAGACGAGAAGCTGAAATGACGCGATACCGTTTTAACGGCGCCAAATTATGGATGACAAATCCGATCCAAAATGAGCATGTCGGTATAAATCACCCGGTGCCCAGTCGGAATTGCGGCCTGTCGATGCTAATTAATAGCGATTAATGTGCGCTCGGAGTCCGCGGCGGACCCTCCGCTGGGAAAAGTATAAGGATCGCACCGTATTACCGGCGTAGCGGCTTCGGTGATTAGAACACGGAACGAGAGCAACAAGTGGCGCACGATGTCTCTCATTATCGGCCAGTTATGGATAGACTCGTCTCTTCTTTGTTTTATGGAGCGTTTGAAAATTTCACGGCGGCTTATCGGCGCGATACGTCCGATCCGACTATTAATAATCGACGACAGACACAACGAGTGTGCGAAGGCCTTGCATTATTCACGCCGCTCTACCGCGTCGCAGTTCTTCTCCGGCAATTGCACTAGATTGGAATCGCGTATCTAGATATTTCACGACCCAATCTACGTCAGGGGGCCTGAAAATAGAAGCATTAAAATGTCCCGAAAGTTTCGAAAAAAGAGGATGCTCTATATATTTTTTTTATTTTTATTTTTATGATTAATGAGAAATATGTAGATATACGCATTCTTTCTCATTTTCATTTCGTTCGTTAATCCGGCGGGAATGAAAAAACTTGCGAAAGAATTTAATAAAAAAATAAAAAAATAAAAAAATACTACTTCCCTCGAGCGTCTCGCGATAAAGTCGACATTTGAAATTCCACGTGAATCAAGTTGGGAGCCAAAAAATTAGCACGTTGATTTACTCCGTGCAGCATATACCCCCCGTATCTCACGTGGCATCTCGACATGCTGCACTTTCCCACTTGCACGTTCCATCTCGGAGCACCGGAACGTGACCGTAGCTCTTTTTCGTAACTTCTTCTTCATTTCTTTCTCTCTTTTCGTTCGCAGGAAACTTCGAACGTGCGCAGTCGAAAAAAATGTCTTAATAATACACCTCCGTTTATTTTCTGAAATTTCATACGCTACTACTACTACGTATTGTCTAACTTGCGCTTGTATTTGCGATTATATTTCTCCATCGTGATGATTTTGGCAAGCTTCGAGAGAGAGAGAGAGAGAGAGAGAGATTTATCAAAATGCTACATTAATAAAATCTTCCTTTTACTCGAGACTCGCAAACATTGGCCCCACCTATTTTGCGGGAAACACCTACTTGTTTTCTAAAATAGGCGAGGTCACATAACTTCGGTTCTCTTATGGTAGAAAGTATAATCCCCCCTCGATTATCCCCCGGCTCGGATCTCGCGGGAATGCAGCGGAATTCACACGTGAAAGAGACGCAATCTTTCTGGAAGGGGTTGCAACGCGTTGTAACCCGCGATAATTCCGTTAATGCACACATGTCGTGCAGCCCTAACGAGTTATAATCAGTCGAGCACCGGCTGAGTACAGTTTAATGGTTTATTCCCCGCATTAGGCACCCTTCTAGTCCCTCTTTCCCACCTTGGCTTCTATCTGCGTCCTCTCCTCTCAGCTCTCTCCCATGTCTCTCCATCTCCCTTCCATCTCTCTCTCTCTCTCTCTCTCTCTCTCTCTCTCTCTGTCTGTCCGGACTTCCACAATAATGCGAGCTCCATCGGCGGGATAGTACGACGAGAACGCGCAATTTGCGGCCGAGCTCTGGCTTTCTCGAATAATTGATGCAATTTCCGGGTTGCGAGCGAGCTGCGAATGACCCCGAGAATTTGGATTTTAGGTAGATTCACGAGATGTTCACGTCACAAAGTGAACATTAATTTCCGCATTACCTCCCTCTCCCCGCGAACGATATTAAATCGCGAACTGGATGGATTTTTCTAAGTAACCAGATTTCCGATACACATGTATGATCGTTGAACAATTGCTAATTTTCGGAAGATCTCATTCGAATCCAATTTCACACGAGTCTGCAAGATCGTCAATTAATCAATTTCGGCCAAACGTTCAACGTCCAAGAGAAACCAAGAGAATTAAATCATTGATAACTTTATAAGAAAGACTACAGAGTAACAGTCGTGCTTTAGAGAACGTTGGTATTTTAAGAAAACGTTTCTTCATGAGAGCAGATGAATATCTATAAGGTGTAATAAAATACGCGTATCACATGTAATAAGATATGCGACATACATCATGTAGGGAAGGAGTTTTGTTCAAGTGACATAATCCGCTTGATTTACACAGACGGCATATCCTTCGCGTGCCTCGCGGATATCATTTATATCGTACTCGCCCGCCCGTAACAATCATTCGCGAGATTATGCTAAAAACACCAGTCCACCGAATGATAGTTAACACTGATAGCGTACACGACACCCCGAGCTTGTCACAGCAAGACGGCAAAGGAAGAGAGAGTAGGATATACCTCTGTTTTTCTATACATATACCCTCTATCGCCCAACTACCGCTGACTTTTCGCGGGCTAATTCCATTAGCCGTTCCCGCCGACGAGCCTATCCGCGTCCTCCGCTCGCGCGTTCCTGCGGGATTAATTTCGCGGCTTCGTTCGCCAGCCACGCCGTAAGTTTCCGCGATCGTCTGATCCTGCATCCGGGCTGCATGATCGACGACCCCTCGTCCCCCAACCGCGACGGCGGCGCGTCGCTAACTTTTTCGACGCGACGAGCCCGATGTTTCCCCATCCGCTATCCCTTTAATCGCGTTTACCCCTAATTCTCTTTATTCGATCAACTCCGGCTTACTCTGACTGCTTCGCTTTAACTCTGGAGACACCTGCTTATTATATTCTACATCGTTTCTGCGCAATTGACTTATAAAATCATTAATTAAAGATAATGTTGAACAAAAGACAACACGAGTTATAAATAGTGCAAATAATTGAAAACTATGAGGCTAACAGAATCAAGTGTTGATAACAATAAACACATATATTTTGCTAAATATGGAGGATTTTATGCGTAGACGTAATAAGTATTAAGTATAATTATGAGTACTTAGTGCTTATTACATCTATAATTTTCCGATGATTTCAGCGATACATACTTTATAGACTGACTTCATTATGTTGTTCATATGTTTAATATTGGTGCACGGGCAGTAAATTTACGTTTTCGGTGCGCGTTCATCATAGCTCGAAGAATTGGAATATTCAGGACACGGAAACAGCGGATTAATCCGCATTATGAATATTTGATCGCATCGCGCAGAACGCGGCAGGATGAACTTTAAAAGGCTCTCCCCGATGCAAATTAATGCATGCCGTAAAAAAGGCTGGCAGACGCGGCTTTTACGATACGCGATCCATAATTAAGTTGTAGATTAGTTTTAGCAGATTAAACGAAAATAAACTGAAGCCGTACGCGAGTTTATATCGAATCCCGTTATAGCGAAAACTAAAATTTCTACTTTAAATGACAAGAAATATATAAATAGTTGAATTTAATAGTCATATTAAAATAATTTAAAAAAATATCTAATTTAATGCCTGAAGATTCATGATTTTACATGTGTCATTTGAAAATGATTAAGACGACTCTAGCAACGAATTTAATATCTTAATAATCTTCTCTTTATTTTATCTAAATTGCAATCTTGTGTTACAAGAAGCCAATATTCTTACTGGATGCTTCTTCGCAAATATTCCAAAAAGTTAAAATATTTTAATATCGACAAGAAAATAAATTATTAACTAATAATTAATAATTAATGATTAAAATAGTCGTGCTTAAATTATTAATTTCTTTTATCATACTTTTCAAACATACTTTGCTTTACGAGCTGTAAAAAAAAAGCTTCTTTTCCCTTCAAACTTCAGGTCACCAGTGGCTGAAAACGAATCTCGACGTGGTACCCGAGTCGGGCTGGTCCGTGGACCCGTTCGGCCACGGCGGCACCATACCCTACTTCCTCAAAGCCTCGGGCGCCACCGGCACGGTGATCCAGAGGATACACTACGCGTGGAAGCAGTGGTTCGCCAAGAAGCAGTACGGTGACTTCGTCTGGCGGCAGCCGTGGGACCGCGACGGCGCCGCCGACATGCTCACCCACAATCAGCCGTTCGACATATACAACATCAAGCACTCGTGCGGTCCGCATCCGCACGTCTGCCTCAACTTTGACTTCCGCAAGATACGCGGCGAGTACACCGAGTACTCGGTCCGCGCCGTCGAGATCACGCCCAACAACGTCAAGCAGATGGCCGAGCTGTTGCTGGAGCAATACGCGAGAACCGGCTCCTTGTTCACTCACAACGTCGTGCTGATGCCGCTCGGCGACGACTTTAGGTGCGCGTAACTTCTTTTCGAAAAAGAGACCTTCTTCGGTTTTTTTTTCACTATATTTGCGTTTACAATTTTTTATAAACGCTTCTTCTATTTTATATTTATTTTGTAACGCTGTTATTTCGGAAAAGTTGCACATGTTATTTAACAAAGTTTTTTCTTTACTTTTTAAATTTGTAAAATAATTAACGTATACAATTTAATTATAATTTGGAAAATCAATGTCACAAATTTTTATTTTATACTTCAACTGGAATATATAATTAGTTGTTTTCATGAAACATGATATATATTGCCCTTTACAAAACGCATACATTTATATGTATATATGTGTATGAAGAAAAAATTAAATACTTTTAATTAATGAAACGTCACGTTTCCCGTTGTTGTTTACATTTCAGATACGACCACGCGATCGAGTGGGATCAACAGTATACCAACTACAAAATTTTAATGGACTACATAAACAGCCGAAAAGACGAGTACAATGCCGAGGTGGTGTTCGGCACGCCGAAGGATTACTTCCGCGAGATACAAAAGCGCGTGGGCAAGTTCCCGTCGTTGACGGGCGACTTCTTCGTGTACTCGGATATCTTCAGTGAGGGCAGACCGGCCTACTGGAGCGGCTACTTCACCACCAGGCCGTACATGAAGATCCTCGACCGCGAGCTCGAGGCGAATCTCAGATCCGCCGAGATCCTCTACACGATCACGCTGAATCTCGCCAAGCAGTCCGGCAAGGATATAAAACTTTACGAGACGTACTTCGAGAAGCTGGTGAAGGCGAGACGTAATCTGGGCCTGTTCCAGCATCACGACGCGATCACCGGCACCTCGAAGTCCTTCGTCATGAAGGATTACGCGCTGAAACTTTTCGAGTCGATCTCGGACACGACGAGCCTGCAGAGCTTCGCCATTCAGTCTCTCGCGGCGACCGTCAACGGCAAGTCGAATTCCGTTTACGTGCTGGCCGAGTCGGACAGGGACAGCTACGAGAAGCTGCCGAAGAAGATACCGATCGGCGTGAACGGCCGCGAGACCAGAAAGATCGTTCTGTTCAATCCACTGGCGCAGCCCAGGCAGGAGGTGATCAGTCTCAAGGTCACGTCGTACAAAGTCAAAGTCCTGGACCCGCAGAGGAACCCTATACCCTACCAAATTGCGCCGGTGATGAACGCCACGAGCATCACGCACGACGTGTACGTGCTGCTCTTCGTGGCCGAGCTGAAACCGCTGTCGATCGCCACGTATCACCTGCTGCAGGTCGACAAAGTGCCGGCGGAGGCCATCTCGACGGTGTACTGCAGCCGTTGCGGCAAGGACAACGTCTTTCCCATCAAGCCTATGCAGGTGGGTGACGTGCAGCTCGAGAATCAGCGGATGAAGCTGCTCTTCGACGGGCAGACGGGCTTCCTGAAGCGCGTGACGAAGAAATCCACCGGCAAGATCATGCAGTGCGCCGTACAGTTCGCCGCGTATCCCTCGGCGCAGTTCCACAGCGGCGCCTACCTCTTCATGCCCGATCCGAATCTCCGCGACACCGACAAGGACGTCCTGGAGGCGTACACGCCGCACCAGAAGATCTACATCGTCAGCGGTAGCCTGAGCTCCCGCCTCACCGTCGAATACGGCAAGTTACTGACGCACCACGTGGCCATCTACCATCGCGACGGCGGCCTCGGCGAGGCCATCTACCTGCGCAACATCGTGGACTTCGAGACGCCGCCGAAGAACCGCGAGACGGAGATGTTCATGCGCCTGCAGACCGACATCTCGAACGGCGATCCGCCCGAGTTCTACACCGATCTGAACGGCCATCAGATGATCAAGCGCACCAAGATCGAGCGCATCGGCATCGAGGGCAATTACTTCCCCATCACGACCATGGCCTACATCGAGGACTCGAATCACCGGCTAACACTCCTGGTGAACCACTGCCAGGGCGCGGCCAGCTATCAGCCCGGCTGGCTGGAGGTGATGCTGGATCGCCGAACCCTGTACGACGATTCGCGGGGCATGGGCGAGGGTCTGTTGGACAATCGACGGACCGTCATCAAGCACTGGCTACTGCTCGAAGATATCAGCGGCGAGAAGGACAGATACTCGAGGCCGTCGCTGTTCGCCAATCACCTGAGCAACACCCTCAACTACCCGGTGAACATCTTCGTGGTGGACGGCAGCGAGCAGGAGGTCACGATGGCGCCGGAGGTCCGACTGCTGAGTCAGAGCTTCCCGTGCGACCTTCACCTGCTCAACCTACGCACCAATCACGATCAGAAGCTGCCACACTTTCCGGTGAACAGCGCGCTAATGGTGCTGCACCGACAGGGCTACAGCTGCTCCGTGGGCATCGACGTGCCGCTGAAGCACTGCCCGCTCACGGAGAGACTCGCCCAGGGCACGGCGTTCTACAAGCTCGACAGGGTCAACGTCACGAGGACGTCGTTGACCGGCACGAGGTCGGGCGCCCGCCTGAAGGACGGTTTCCAGGAGATCGGTCTGCAACCGATGCAGGTCGAGACGTACAACGTGAACTTCGTGCAATGATCATAAGCCATAAGGCCGATCGGCCTTCGATCGATCTTCGGCGCGGCGTTGATCGGTTAGCAAAATTCCGAGAGAGAGTACACAGGCGTCTTGCCCCCTTCCAAAACGACACTGCCGTATATTAATCGTGTTGAATACTACCTCTTTGACTCCTTTGCGTGTAAACGCGGTTCACCGGTTGTTAGCGATGAAGAACGGAACGTTGCGGAAGCGATATGGAAGCGAAGGTAATCAATAATTTCTCATGGGATGACGTGGGACGGAAAAAAATGACAAATAACGTTGATCACTCCGGGACAATTGAAATAATAACAATTGACTCGTGCAGGTTAAAATAAATTCTTTCCCGTTAGAAAAGATTTCTAAAATTTTTTTAGTCAATTTTTTATTCATTTCACAGGCGTGTAGAGGAGTCATTTTTACCTAATTTCTTTTGACGCTGATCTTGACAAGGTACTCCATTGACCTAGAAATCATGTTCTCGTACCGTTTTCTTTTCCCTTATAATACAATTTCTTTCACTAACTTTATATTTGGAGAAAAAAAGTTTCCTGACGGATTAAAGATTTATAAATTTCCCTGTAAATTATTGAAGTAAGCAAATCATTAATGTATAAGAACTTTCCACGCCACTTCTCGAGTTTTAGCTGAAATTTCGCGAGACGACGCTTTACGTCGTCGGAATTTTACGAGAAATTTTAAGGAACGGCAAATGTGTACGAAGAGAGTATGCGTGTAAATACTTCGATCGATCGCAACACAGTTAATTGCTAATCATGATAAACGTGCATGCGCCCATTGTACATATTGTTTCTGTACGACGTATCTCTTGCGTTTTATTATTGAACGAGAAATGTCGAGAGGGAGAGGGAAGGGAAGAGGCGAGAGAAAATGTATACATGCAGATTATATAAATACATTAGCAATTTACTCCAAACAGAGTCTGAGATATCTAATTAATATACGTATGTTCGCTGGAACGAGATACTTGGGATCAGATTTATCTCGCGACCTAATTTGAAATTATAAATATTCATTTAAACTTCAAATAATTCTTCCATAATTTAATACCTTTATCGCTGGACTTCAATATATTTCTTAAGGTTTTAGATTTCGGATTTTTCAACTTTAAATCTCTTTATTATTAACTTTCTGTCGTATAAAAATTCTTATTTCAAAATTTTCTTATTAGATGTTCCGAATAGTTTTGAGGGAATACTTTTTTTGTAAAAATGATTGATTTACCAACATTTAATGCTTCAGCTAATTCTTCAAAATATCTATAGTACATTTGTAGCTACAGCCATCTATATAGTGAACCCTCAAAACTAACCGGAACTAATACTTAATTTCTAAGATGTTTATCATTGTTTTCTTCGAATATATATGATGGAAATGGAAATTAGGAGTTTTTGTCTTTCTCTACATTTCTTCACGAGTGTAGATCTTTTTTTTTTTTTTTAAACAAAACGTGATTTCACGAGAGACATAAAAGGGGCCAGTGAAAGAGAGTCAGGCCTATACAGAGAACAAAAGAATTAAAATTTCATATAGTGACTTTTATCTGTTCGTACGGCGTTGTCTCTTTCCATGGACAAACAGACTGACAGCTGACAGACAGAAATTTCTTTTATCAAGCGTATAGAGGTATATATGTACATATTGTATCGTATATGTATATATTACATATCAGATCGTAACTTGCCCTAGGTGATTAACCGTAGACGACCTTTGTGATAGAGCGAAACGATGTAAAGAAAAAAATCTGATACATCTATTTTCGTATGTCAGATATTTTGCTATCGACCCCTCCCTCTCTCCCTCACCGCGAGTGTCGACGAGTAGAAAAAAAAGTGTCTTCTTGGTGGACGAGGGGGGACGCGATTGTCCGGGGGACATTCTCTCCGCAGTATCGTTTTACGCAATCCGGAAAATGTAGTAAAGTGTAATACGTGTGAAATAAACTTGCGTGCCGAGACGACGAGAACGTTATCTCTCGGAGATAACGCTGGACGAGCGAGATGTGTAATTTACACCGAATTGTAAATAATTAAATTAATTGGAACGAATTCTCGTATAACTGACGATCGTCACGATAGACGCGGAGTATGTCCCTTTCCTTTTTCTCAACTTCCCCGCGAGACGTTCTATCGAATGCGCCACGACGTGATAATCTGTCAAATTGGTAAAACGAAGTACTTCCGAGGTGTTCTTTATTACGATTACGAGTGAATGATAATACTATTGAGACTCGCGAATGATAAATGTCGCAGAGGGACTTTGCGATGCGTATCGCCGCGTGGCCGTTTCCAGCGATCTTCCACTTCCATGGAGAATCTCGAAGTGTCCCTTTTTTGCGGCCTGTACCGTCGGTCCGATTTGTACATATTAGATTAATTAACGGAAAGTCGTGCAGCTTCCGCGCGCGAGTGGACCGTCGCATTTCTCCGGCGCGAGAAATAAGGAAGAGGAGCGGGGGCAAAAATTAAATTCTTCGAGGGTGCAAGGGAATAGTGTAAAATATGGCCGCTGCTTTTGCGTAAGAAAAAAAAAACGGCGAGCAAAACGTTCGCCGCTTCTCCGCATGCGGACTCGTAATTATTACGAGGTAGCGTTTTTTTAATTCACGCGAACGATATACATTATCTACGTAAATTTTCTTATTTAAGACCGTGTTCATAAATATGGTGCGAATTCGTGTAAACTTCCTGGTGGTTTTATAACCCTACGTTATCTCTTAGATATTTTATCGCGCTCGTGTAAAACTTCTGCTGACGCAGTTTTAATTCATAAAACATCAGACTGTAGAATTTATATCATTTTACGATGAATTGATTCAGTTAATTACAATTAATCGACATGTTTTACTGTTTTATCATGCTGTCGCTAAGAGAACATAACATATTGCGACTAATTGCTTTTTCTTTTTAGCGACACTTTATTTGTCGCGCTAAATATTACATTATCATTGAAAATAATCCGTTTTCGATCGTTGTCGGTGTTGTCAAATCGTTGTCGCCGTTTGATTTCAGTCGTAAATCCTCTATTTTCGGACGCGAATTATTTCGTAACGCGTATCGATTCGGTGAAAGAAATTCAGTGTCGAACGAAAACACGCCGACTTTGCGTTTACAGAGTTGAAAAAGTCAATCGGCGGCGCGGCATCGGGAACGTCCGTCACGATATATACCGCCGACTTGATGTCGGATAATTAAGCTTCGTAAGCGTCGGGTTATTAAAATTTTTTTCGATAGACTTACGGGCTCCGATAAATTTCACGGTTCTCGGGCCGCGCGAACGTTTATACGGGTTTAACGATGTTGTGTATAAATAGAGGATCGTCGATGAAATCGTTAAACCGATAGATCGTAAAGAGTAATGGAAAAATAAAGGAAACGGGCGGATCGGTGCGCGCGCGGGTAGGGTGTAGCGAGTTATCGCCTTCGTGCTGTTGTCACTTTTAATCATCACCGTGGCGAACATTATCGCGTTCGATCCCTGGTAAAAAGATTCGCAAAAATAAATTTATCCACTTATATAGTATATATATATTATATATCGGTGCTTGTTATATATCCGTCCTTGTTTCGATATAATAATCCAAATTAATCTCTTAATTCCGTTTTTCGGACAGATTCAAGCCTCCGGCGTTTAATCGGGCGAATTAATAAAACGGTATTATCTTATTTGAGATTACTTTATCTCCGCCTGATGTCACTCATTTCGATATTATTTCATTATGCCGCACTAACGACACTGCCCACGATAACATATCGTCCGCTCCGTTTAAAGCTATGATAAACGTAACGAATCAAAAACAAGAGCCTCGAGCAAGTGAAATCTCACCGTGGACGGTTCTGTACGTGATACCGAACTTCGAGCCTTTTCGTTACGCGAGTATTTTCCACATACGCGAAAATTGTAATCAAAAAATGTTTAAGAGGCACCGTCAGAGACACCGCTACGCCGAGATTTCTGCAAATGTCGACGAAAAATGCCCGAAACTGCCGACGGCGACGAAAGTCGTTCGGCGCCACACAATGACTGTCCCTGTAACGATATTGTAACATACTGTATGTTTTGTGCCGTCGTTAGCGAGAAAGAAGTGTTCTATATCACAAAGAATAAAGTTATATATTGCATGTTCACACACAAACACACACACGCAACACATACACGGATAACCGATGTCGCTCGAACGATTCGCAAAGGGCAAGCGGCCGTTTGGAATCGCACGAGCGCGGGACGCGCGAATGGCGATGATAACATACGATATTCCTTATGTTACAATGTAATATTATATTTATTAAATAAAACTAGTAACTGACGTATTTTGATCAGCCGCGTTGTTCTCTATGCCGAGTGGCCCTCCTTCGATAAAACCCGCGCGAAAATAATGCAGGCTGTTGAAAGACTTCTAGTTAAATCTAATCTTTTCTGTACGCTGTCATGTTTTTTTTTTCCATAGCTGAAATGAGGCACTTAATTATTATTTTTCTTCAAATGCAGATATTACATAAAGTTTCTGCAAAAAAATGTTATCCTTTTTTGCGCATATCGGTATATACGATGTTTAATAAGAATGTCTATAATTTTGCAGGAACGTCATGCAATGAATATGCAACGAATACTTGTGTTTCCTTCATTAATTCGTGCAGATATGTAAATTAGCCGATAAACGAACGCGAATGCATGAACATCGGCCGCGGTGTTCCTTTTTCTCCTTGCGTTCCTTTACCACAGGGTATTGATAAACTGGCGAAATATATAATCGCGAAACCGGTGGGAGCATCTGGACTAAACGTTAATCGATAACCGGGGTTTCTGGGGGGCATAACTCTCATTAATGGCGATTATGCGATATCGTCCTCCGTGACGATAAGTGCCTCGTTTCCCGTGCCGCGGCTGTCGCCGTGCCGATGCTGACCGTGTAATTGAATTCACAGTAAGACGATCGAGGACCGCCTGCAGAATCGCGGAATCAAGAAAATTGCGAGCAAGCTCCCATCGCGCGAAGCAGGCTAATTTACATATTCCACCCTCGACGACACTTAGGTCGCCCCCCCCCACCCCCTCCTCAGTCGAGTCCGACGTTCTTTGTATATTGCCGATTCAGATAAAACCGCGGGAGGATGAGGCCTTAGACAGTTAACCGGATTATAAAATCGTAAAGACGGCTTTTTGCAATTATGTAAAAGTGCAGAGGTCGCCGGTTTCTCCCCGCGGTGCAATTACGTCTTATCCCAACACCTTTATTTCGCGAGGATATTTAAGGCCGCGTAGCGAATTTGACTAATTCTACTTAATCCATCTATTCTTCAAACGAAAAGAAGAGCGGCGAGGGGATGAATATTCGTACTCCGTGCTTGGTGGTGTGGACTATACATTCCGGAAGAATTACATTTTCGGAAAGAATGGAGAGAGGATCGGCTGCGCGCCGAGGGATATTCGTATAGGTATACGAGCTTCGGATCTCGGGGCGGCTTTTCGAGCGGAATCAAAAGCCGCGTGTTGATTTATAAAAACACACGATGGATTTTCGGTTCCCTCGCACGATGATTCAGCTCTCGACGTAGGCGGAAAAATGGGATTTCCGTTGTCCCAGGTCCCCGACAGCTGGAATGAACATCGCGCGCTCGCGCGTGCCTTCGTTATACAAGTTTTAATTACAATCGATTCAATTTCCTTCTACGCCGGGGAGAACGGAGAGTTTCCATTCGCCCACCCGTCGGGGATACTCCGTCAGCTCGTTCATGAACCTGACACTCGTAATACTCCGTTTACCGTAAGGCCGAAACGCGCGGCCTTTTTGCCGTCTCGACGTACGGCTGATCGTTGACGAAATGCGCGATTAAGACGTTTGTTTCTCTTTTTTTTATTCTTTCCTCTTTTACGGAGGTAGTCGCTCATCGTGAGACAGAAATCGCGTGCAGATTTCCTCTCTTTAATCACAGGAGAATTCCATTAATTTTCTCTTGCTCAGCAAGAGAAATTTGTCAAATTTTACACTACATATTTTTGAAATAAAAAGTAAGAGGAGCATCTTATAATATTTTCGATCTCTTGTTTTTCCATTGAAAACGCATAGTTGTATTATAGATTGAAGAAAAAAAGGATAAGACAACGTTTTACTTTGCAACAGTAAAGACTTTTCTAAAGGAAAATTCTCGCCATTCGGGACGATACTCGCCGCGTCTCTGAAAGTTAATGAATAATTTGCATTTTTTTGCCGCAAAATTATACGCGCGCTATAACAGCCGATATTGTACTATCGCGCGAATCGAGAAAGATCGCGGAATTTATTCAAAGATATTCAAAAGGAAAACGCCGGTGATTTTCCTCCGCCGAGATTGACTGTGGCAAGAAAAGCTCGACGGAACGAGCGTCGCTTAGCCGTCCGGTTATGAATATTTATAAATCATAACTCGCTGTTACATAAGTCACGCGAATCGATCGAAACCATTTTTCAGAAGAATGCATTCTCAATGAAGCGGCATTTTTCACATAAATAATTATTACGTAATTACGACCTTTTCAGCCATAATCGAGTAACAAAAGAAAGAGCCGAGTTGCGAGGCAAAATATTTGTAATTAAAATTTCCACACAAAAATCTGCACAAGCAAAGAACAACCTGGGCACACGAAAGTACCTCAAAATTGCCGGAGTATAAAGTAAAAAAATTTAAATTCGCAGAAATAAATTGTTCAGAAATCAGACTGCTGAAATGCACGCTCTGCCATGAAAAATCTATCTCGAGTCTCGATTAAAGCCACGTTCATTCCTTCTCGTCGATTCTCGGTCGGCGAGTCAACTGCTTCCGTTCTCGTTCTCATTAAGAGAAGACCGAGAGTCACCGCAAGTCCCGCTGAAATACATGAAATTCGCGCGGATTGTATCGCCGCATGCACGTGCTAAGTACGCGTACATATACACACCGCACGATGCTCGCGCGGTCGCCCCCTTCTTGCCGACGTCGACGTCTTAACGTCGGGTAATTAGCCTTAGGAGACAATCCCGGGGACGCGCACGCCGTGGGATAATCGAGAATCTCGTTAGGTACCGCGAAGAAGCGAAGGTGCTTTCCACCACCGCGCCACGGCATCCATAAACGTCGCGCCTGATGGGCGCAGATAGGTGACGCCGGGATGAAAGCCGGGGCCCTTTCTGAACGTCGCGTCGACGGCTGATACCTGCACCGAGTATAAGACCGTCCCCGGGATTCCGTTAGTCGCCGTCCGTGTGGCGTTCCGTTAATTTATATGGAAATATAAGCAGCCCCGCGGATTATAAGCAGCCGCGCGCGGCTGCTCCTTACCGCGCGCGTCTTGCAGCAAATTATTCCGACCGTCGTCGTCGTCGTCAGGAGAAACAACGGGGCGACATTATTCGCCGCCACCTACCCTGTAATATTATTAATAATTAGCGATGCTGCGGACCATTTAAACGACCCCCAGCGAACACGTCGCTTCGCGCCATTTTATTTTAGTGGAGTTGTAAAGCATTTAAATAAGATCACGGTGGCTGAAAAGTCGACAAGAGAAATTGTATTTAAATAATCCTGAGAGGGGACAAATCCAGTTTCTCTATATATTAGCTCCGTTTCTTCTCTTGAAAGAGACCGAAAAAATTGGTAGATTTTAGAAGTGGCGTTATAAAGCATTTAAATAAAATCAAAGTGGCCGAAAACTCGACTAAAGAAATTGTCGTATCTAAGTAATCCTGAGAGGGCACAAATTGCTGCAATTTCCTATATATATTAATCCTCCTTCGTTTTCTCTTGAAAAGGATCGAAAAATTGGTAGATTTTAGAAGAAACGTTGTCAAGGAGAAACAGCTTTTCACATATTTAGCATATCTTGTTGTTTTTACGTCAAGATTTTGATCCTCGCAACTGCAGGTTCTCGCGGCTATACGTCGGAAGACATAGTTCACTGAATGCGCCGGGAGAGCTGGTGTGCGAAAGTTAATTATCGTGCGCCGCCACGTTTGTCAAAGCCGCGAGATCCCTCTGCTTGTTACAAAAGCGGAGTATTTGACTCGACATCAAAGCCGAGAGATAGCGTTAACACCCAGTCGGTTGCCGCGTATACAGCGCGCCACGAAGGGGGGAGGGGGGTGGGGGAGGGGAGGGTGGAGATAGTTTTAATAAATGCTCATCTCGAGAGAAACTTTTCTCGTTGGCCGTCTTTCGCGCGCGGCAGAGGGATATCGCTTTTCTTCCCCTCCCCTTTGCCCCTCCTCCCCCCCGTGGTAGATGAAAATCCGTCTCTCTGCTTCCCAGCAGCACGGCGACGACTCGGGTTTCATCAATTACAACGGACGACGAAGCAGACGACGCGTGTGCTTTTAAGCGTCCGTGAATGTCTATGGGATATAGCGCCGCCGAGAGATGTCTGCAGGGAAAATTTGTTCAGGAAAATAATAGCTTCGAGAGATCCCGCGAATTTTCCGGGGAGAAAGAGAGATAGATAGATAGATAGATATAGAACTCAAGATATTAATTATAATCCCAATTGACAGCTCAAGCGAAATTCCGCAGGCAGGTCGGCAGAATCGGAATCAAGATACAAAAAGATTTACGCAAGGAGCACGTTCTTTGTATTTTTCTGTACAACAAAGTGGTGTTTTTTTTTTTACTTCGGCGTAGGCGCGAACTTAAACTTAAATACGAGTCGGGTGTTTCGCTAACTATACGAAGCGACAAAGTCTAAGCACAAACGAGAAAGTTATATTGAAAAAGTTCATCGTTGGCGCCCGTTCAAGTATCCCGCTGAAAGAGCGAAGATTATTTCGCGCCTAAAGCAACATTAATGAAATCGGAGACACCGAATAAGAATTAATCTCTCGTCCACGTATATAGATTAATGTAAAATTTCGGAAACTGCGCCGCGCCTTTTCCGTTATACATTCAGATATTGAAATTCAATATCTGAATTCATTCATTTTTATTCAGCTTCAAGTAAACAAGCTTCCCGTATACATACCTGCAAAATTTGATTTCAAATTTAATTCTAATTAGAATCGCGCGCAGGCGGAACGCTTAATCGGAGCTCGAGATTATATCTGTAATTTATATTAATCCGCAGTTTACGAGTCGACTGATCGCCGACTCCATTTTGAGAAATTAATTAATAATTAATTAAGTCGTTCGCATATATCGGAGATAAATTACGCGGCGCATTTATTAATGGCGCGGGCGGCTTTGGCGCGCGCCTAGGATATTCCAGTGATATCCCAGTCTAATCGGAGTGCTTTAATCTCGGATGTTTCCGAAACGCGAAACGGATGTCCGTCGCGCAGACACGCGGTGGGACGGGGTGGCGAAGAAAAACGCGCGGA